ACGAGTCATGTTCTGAGTGGAATTACACAGGGAAAGTAATCCTCTGATTTAATACAAAATGAGATGCCATTTTAACCCTGAACATTATTTTTACCTCTTATGGAATTTGTCACTGTTTGCCCCTTCTACACTGAAAGTTCCATTCTCATACATTATGGAACATTGTGTGACACACAAAATGGTGAAAAAGCAAATTTTCAAGAAATATTTATTGGATAAATATTAACATTCTTTGCCAACTGGCCATATTTGGGGATCATTTTTTAGCAAAAATGAACTTCAGTGAATTTCAGTTTAGATTCTTAATAAAATGTGAAAGCTAAAATGGAGACAATCAGAGAGTATTTTAAAATAAAACCTGGCTAATCTCTGGTAAGGAGCGAGATGCCAAAAAGAATTTAACAACATGACATCATCCTGAGATCTTCCGACCCGTCTACGTATACATCACCCCACGTGGTGGCCCCTCACACATTTGGCTCTTCCACATTTTAGCTTTGGCTAGTTCTGTGCTGTAAGTGTAAAACCCAAACCAGATTTCAAGATCTTAGTTCAAAAAAAAAGTAGAATTATTTCCAACATAGTGATTACATGTTAAAATGATCATTTTTGGTAAGACTGAGTTACACAAAATATAGTAGGAAAATGAATTTCATCTGTTTCTTTTTACTTTCTTAGTGTCTTTTTTTAAAACGTGAAATTACACATGGCCTGCTTTCGTGGCTTGCATTATCTTTTCCATGGACTTTGCCGACCTGGAGAATATGTTACTCTTCCTCTATCTCCCCTCCTTCCTCTCCTCCCTTTCTTCTTTCTTCTGTACCTTTCTTTTCTAGAATTGCAATTGCAATGATGTGAAGAGAGAGAGGTCTGGAATAGGGAAGGAAGATCCAGCTATTCCACAACCAAAAGATTGCAAACATAGTGGGAAGGTATAGTTCAGTGGTCAAGTGTGTGCTTGGCATGCACGAGGTCCTGGGTCCAATCCTCATTATCTCCATTAAAGTAAATAAATAAATAAACCTAATTTACCCCCCCAAAAAAACCAAAAGTTTTAAAATATTTTTTAAAAGATTATAAACATGATGCAATGGGTTTAGAAATTAAATACAACAAAATATCCCCATTTTATTGGTTCACTCATCTGAATTATTAGTAAAACTATATTGCGGTCCATATGCAAAATCTAAAAACACAGATATTTCTGAACCCATTTTATAGTTTTTATAGTATGTAAGAGTTTCCAATAAGATATTTTTACTTGAGATTTTGAATCACTTCAATGTATGCCAAAGCAATATGCATTTTCCCAAACAGTGGACTCTATTTTAGGGCATAAAGTGTGTGTGAATACAAAGTCACCGACATGTTTATTTACTGCTGATCTCTTTCCTCCTCAAAAATCTATCATATCTGTTGTCTCCCAATTTTCTTTCCAGATGGCCATCTCTAAATCTTTCTCTTCCTTTTGTCCTCTTCATTGGCCCTTTTACTTTTCCTGCCACCCATATCCTCTAGATGATCCATAAGTCATTCCTGACTTTAAATACAATGTCAAGAGAGCACCGTCAAATCTCCCAACCTAAGGACCTCGCCAAGTCACTGGAGAAGAGAGGCATTGCATTCCAAAATTTTCAAGTGCCTTAATGACCTGAATATCATAAGAAATCAACTCTACTTTTCTTGATTCTGATAACTTTACGCTTTGTTGCTTTTCACACGTACCATTTCTTTCCCCAAGTAGATAGTCAGTTCCTGAGAGTAGGTCCAGTGTCTGGTCTTGTTTTCAAACTTTTTTTTAATCTCCTAAAGCACAGTGACTTAGATATGGTAGATTCCCAACAAATACTGGCTGAGTGAATGAAAAAGTGTTCAAAATCTCACCAGTTCTGGCCAGAGCAGAAACTACAGAAAACCCTGAGAAGACAAGAGTGGGTATGTAACAGCACAGTTCTAACCGAAAGTATTTTGTGTGGTTTTAAATTTTCTCTGCTGTAGGGAGCAGTTGTGAATGTGTCTATTTTGTTAGACAAATTGTCGCTGACCTAGTGATGTACACAATGTATCTCCTTTTCCCCATCTTTTAAACAAGGTATGGTGGTGTACATTCAAGTTGTAGAATCAAAAAGTCTTGGGTTCAGATCTTTACTCAGCCATTTACAGCCCTGAGACATGTGACAAGTCACTTGTCTGATTCTCAATTTCCTCCTGATATTATTAGGCTAATAATAAATTCCTCCAGGGTGTTACAAAGATGAGGCACAATATGATAAGCATTTAGCCATCAGTCTGGTCCAGGAGGGAAGATCCATAAATGGAGGGAGGCAGTAGCAGCTGTAGCAACAGAATGGGCAGTAACAGTAGCTATGGTCTACCTACCTGCTAATTGGACTTCTGATTAAAAAAAGAAAAGTTCGTTTGCATTTGGAGCTGGACAACAGAAAAAAAAAAAGGTTGAACTAGACTCCAAAATGTAGACACAGATACTCTACAATGTTCTTTTAAATATGAATCACTTACTGCTCTGTTTAGAAAGTGAGGTGGGAAGCCCCATAAAAAAGACTGGCAGGACCCCTAAGCAGGACCACTACTCTTCTGCCAGCACCTTTCAGTTCCCTGGCCCAGAGGCTCTATCTCACTTTTTGCCTCTGAAACGGCTTACTTACCCCTAAAATTCCATTGGTTCCCTGAGCTCACTCCTGATTGGTTATTTCCTTCACTCTTGATTGGTCCATTTCCCTAACTTCTGATTGGTCCATTTGTAGTGCTTCATTTGCATGGAGCTCACTCCTGATTGGTCATTTCTCTCACTTCTGATTGGTCCATTTCCCTCACTCCTGATTGGTTATTTCTCTCCCTCCTGATTGGTCCATTACTACAAATCTTGCTCCTAATTAGTCAACTTTTGTTAGACATTATTTGCATATGATGTTGCAAAATGTAAACTGACAGCCTATAAAAGCCTGTGTAAACCTACAGATAGAGTCCAGAGCTTAGAGTGTTAACTACTCTGGGCCCGCTGGCGTAATAAACCTGAGTTTTCCAACTCTCCAAGTGCTGCTTGGTCTCTCACCCGGATCCAGGTTGCTGTTACAACTGAGCTGTAACATGTTTTTCTGCAACAAAAGTAGTATGAATTGCACTATCCCATATTTGCTTCCTTGGTTTTGATCAGTGACTTTCTTATAAAACTCAACTTCAGGTTCCAGGATCCATGGCAGAATTTACTTCTGTATTACCTAAAAATTCTTATCAAACCCAAACAAGATAAATGCACACACAATTTATCCACAGCTCTCTTCATAATGTTCCAGAGGAAACGATTAAAGTCACAGAAATCACAAAAAAAATAAAAATAAAAAATCCTTTACAGCCTCAGTTGATTAGAAACCTCCAGGGATGTCACTGACATTTTCAGCACACGTTTCAAAGTTTTCATTTCCACCTTTTTCCCTCTCACCCCATGATGAATTTTATAAAGGTGTGAAAAATCACCCCTTTAACACCCAGCTTCTCCTCACAACACTTCCCAGCCTCAACAGCACCTGCCTTAGCGGCACACCTTTCCCAGCTCTAAAATGTGTTCATCCTTTGATTCTGCTCCACTTTCAAAATCGGGAAACAAAATATTCCCTTCTGACCAAAACCATCCATCCTTGCCCCTCCTCCCATCCTATTAGAAACAGTGAGCCTATTGCTAGTTTTCAATCCTGACCTTGAGGCTCTCAAATCTTCTCCATTGTTGGTTAATTCATCTCCAATAGCTGCCCCTGCCTCATCCCCCAGCCTGGATGGATTCACCGTCGGTCTGCTGTAATACATGCACCACATCTAGAAAGCCCAGCTCTTTGTTTTATATCATGTGTGCCTTGCCAATCTCCTAATCCAGGAAAACTCAGTTTGCCTGACCCAGATTACATGTTAAGTGTTGCCAGAGAAAGCGGTGCAACTGTTGTCGACCAACGTGACAACAAATTGTTTAACCTTGCCAAGTTCCTCCTTCTGGCTGTGGACTCTTTTAATAGACCTCCTGCATATTCTTTGCTACATTCCCTAAACGCCTATCCCCACACCTGTCAATCTCAACCTACAGCCCTGAGTTTCTCCAGGAAAACTAAAGTCATCATTAGACGGCAAACTCCCTGCAGGGAGGGTCCTTATTACCACTGGGTCCCCATCCTCCAGTGCAGAGTTGAATAAGGAAGGAATTTAGTTAACTAATGAATTCCATCTTCTTCCCCTTCTAAGATGTGACCAGTCTCTTCTTGGGCTACAAATGATCATACCAACCTTCTCAGAACATTCTGAAACTTGGTCCTGAAAATTACTTTCCTCCCCCAATAACTCTACCTTCTCTTGCTAAGGGGACTCCACCACCCAAAATTAAATACACATTGGTATCTTCTTTATTCTGGCTTAAAAATGCATGCCTCTTTCAATAACAGTACTCCCTTGAATAATACTTCATCCCCACAATGAACACTGAACTACATTTACTTCTTATCTTCATCTCTTCAAAGACCTCATATGACCTTAAACATGGACAACTGGATTTCTGCTTCTGTTTAACCCTAAAAGGCACATTTTTTCTCAGTGATAATTAACAGACTTTTCAACACTGTTACTGAAAAAATTCAAACCAACAGATAATCTGAAAGAATAATACAATAAAATCACTCCCTGGATTCAAAAATTATTAACAAATGATTTGCTTTACACACACACACACACACACACACACACACATTTTGCCATGACTCATATGAAATAAGGTTGCAGACATTATGGCATTTATCCCTAAATAATTCAGCATGCATCACCTAATATCATTTATTACCTAGTCCACTTGCAAATTTTCCCAATTCTACCAAAATTTGATCTTTTGTACTTTTTTTTTAAAAAAACTAAGATTAAATAAAGCTTCAAATACAGTATTTGGTTGTCTTTAGTCTCTTTTAATATAGAAAAGACCCCTCCACAGTGGCAATGGCCACTTGGAAGAGAGCAGGGTACATGTCTCGTATTTTCACAAAGAATATGACACCCTGTGAATTTGATTATTTCCTCACGCTTTAGGTTAACAAGTTCCACTTTCTTTGTACTTTCCTGTAAATTAGAAGTTAAATTTAAACAGGATTTAGATTCAGTTTACACATTCTGGCAACAATACATCACCAATGTATCACACTGCGTCCATCAGGAAGCGCAGGTGTTTGATGACTCAGCTATTAAAGGCAAATGCCAGATACAACTAACAAGTAACACTTGAGCACCATGAGAATACTTTAGCCCCCCAGATACTTCTAACTAGTGGTTTTAGCACCTGTTGATGACTCTTGCTTGAATCATTTATTTCAGTGGGAATTACAGTCATTTTCTAAAGCCAGCATTTCTTACATTTACTCACTCACATATTTTGCAAAGAAGAGCTGTCCTTCATCAATTGGACAAGAAGAGTTCCTCCGAAAAGGGAGGCTAACCATTTCTTTCCATTTAATTACTATCAGAATCATTTTTCTTTTATTAATATTTTGTATTTAGAGTGTCACTATGGACTCATGGATTTTACTTTGTTCAATGTTTTAGAATCTGTCACAGTCATTCGTGTTGGAGGAGGTTACATCCACTGCTGCTTGACCCTCAAGCTGGACCAGGACCATCAGAGGCTTCCTACCCTCTCCCCTGAACTTGGAGTGTATATTCAGCCACCTCCAGGACTCAGCCGTGAGAGAGCAATGTGTTGTTGAGAACATCTAGACTGAACCCCATTAAGACCTCTATCTATCCCTCTCATTAAGGGATCCCCACTTCACTTTTACTAAAGACCTACACTAGTACCTGTTTTCACTAACTGAAAGAAATCTAAAGACGATTTGCATTTACACAGAGGCAAGAAGTGAATACAGCATTCATTATCTTGCAGCAAAATGTTACAGAGACAACACGCAAGAGAGCATCCGGGGTGGCTCAGCCAAGCTCCTTCCCCGGAACTACACGCATTTCAGCAGCCAGCCACCACAACTTCCACTGTGTCTGTGAGCATCTGTGCTTTATCTTGATCTATTTTGCACATTTGCTAGCAAGACGTGTCCTAGGGTAATTGCTTCTTTTCTTTATGCCATTTCAGCTTACAAAAAGTTTCATAGGAACATTCCACTTTCAGAGAGCAAGGGAAAACCATACACACTTTTAAGATTCTGGTGGCTGGATGCGGAAATCTATTTGTCTTACAGCCACCTAGGACAAGCCTTGCACATAAGCTGCCTTGATTGTTAAAACTGCCACCTACCACGCTGGAGTAGTCTGTCTGTTTCTTCAGTCTCTCTTTGCCCCTTCGTACAGGGGCCAGTTTCAGATTTCATCTGAGGTTGTTCACAAACAACCACTGATGCTCCACAGTATCTGAATTTGGCAACTGGGAGGCCCTTCATGCAAGCTCCTGTTTACAGTTACAGTTTACAAATAAGGTTTATACAACCTTATTTGTTTCAGGGCCTTTCCTCATTTCCTGGCACAATGAGAGAGCCCAGGCTCAGCTTGCACTTTTTCTGCCCTGGCTTAGAATCAGCAAATTCTCCAGAGTTTGGTCCCCTTGAGTGGGAAATGGTATTTAGAAACCATGATGTGTGCACTAAATGTGCTCATTGCTCCCAGAGAGACATGCTTGGAAGCCTTTTAAGTAGGAGCCAGAGCAAGTAAATATACTTGAAAAGATGTATAGTATATTATAATATATGATATCTTAGACCCTCTTTGCCCTTCTTTTTCTGACTTATCCTGGCTATTCTTGCTTTTTCACATTTTCTCTATGTAATTTAAAATCACTTTATCTAGTTCCAGAAAAGCTTCTTACTGGTCTTCCTATTTAGAGGATGTTATATGTGAGCATGCATGAACACGTGCGCGCCCACACACACAGAAGAATGTGACACATACAATCTTGGGAACTGACCCCTTTAAGATGCCGTCACACCAAATCCAGAATCATGGGGATGCTTCTTCACTTACTCAAGTCTAAGACAGTTCATTCATTCAGTTTCTTCTTAAAATTAATGGATTTTAATCACAGAGTCAAGGACTTTTTCACAGGCCTCACCTTTGCCCAAACGTATGCAGCATTAGCCTTGCTGAACACTCCTCTCTTTACACAGACACAATTTCCTAAGCTTCAGTGCCTACTTCTTCTTTTTCTGCCTTTAACCAGGTCTTTTTCCATCCACTCAGAAAAATGCAGGTGTTTCCCAAATGTCTGCCTCCTGAATTTTTAAGGTAGATAATTTTGTAATTTTTTTTCTAGCTCTCAGTGTGCTTTCCAGCTCTAGACCTGAACTGCAATTGCACATTGGTCATTTTATCCAGCTTAATGTTGGAACTTCAGAGAAGTGATATGTCCAAAACTGAACCATTCTTCTACCCCCAACCAAACCAGGCCCTCTTCTGGATATTCTTATTTCATTTTGTTTTGTTTTATATCCCGAGGTTCCAAGATATCAAGATTCTAAAACTCAAAAGCAGCTTTTACTAGTCCCTTCACCTTGGCCTCCAAATCCACTGATTTTATGGACCTATAGATTTACCATCATCTTTGAAAGCCATTTCTTCATGTTCATTCACACTGCCTCTACTACACAGTTTATGTTTCTCATTCTTTACTGAAAAATATTCATTTTTTTCAAGTTCCAAGGAAACTATTTAATAATAGAATACTTGTTCACACATCTGAAGAGGCAATTAAAAACAACATCCCAAAATAACATCTTACAGTCACATGCGTTTTATGTTATTAACAAACAGATAAAATGGGCTTGAAAAATGTCACATCCAAGTATGTGTCACAGTGGAATTCTGGGGTGGAGATGATGTTGATAGTGAGATGTTGGTAGACAGAAGAGACACCTATATTTATAGATTTGCTGTGTTATGAAAGAATTGGCTGTTCAGTTTTCCTCGTGCAAAGGATAACTTTCCACATCACACTGCAAAAGCTTCCAGAGCAGAGAGTGCATTGTGCGCTAAATAAATATTTGTTGAGTGTTTTTCCCACAGCCTCTGCAAAGCCACTGTAGACACAGAAACATCTATTTTGTCCTGACCACAGAACCCAGGAGGCCCCTGACAAACTCCCACGTATTGGGTCTCCTCAGAAAATCCAATGATCCTAGAGAGATGGCTGCTGGCATGGTCTCTTAAAGGCCCTCTCAGCACCAGTAAGAGTCTTGGTGTAAATGACACTATTTTCTGTTATTTCTGCCTACAGCACACAGTAGTGAAAACTTGCCAAAATACAGTCATTTTGAATAATGCACCAAGAATAAATATATAGCAGTTGCTTTATAATAGGTGAAAGGAAACAAAATTTCCTCTCCACAAATGGAGCATCCCTGAACAGAAAGAGGAACACGAGGTGTCAATTCACACATACCTGTTATTTGTCCCTTTACTACCTGTGGATCCCTGAGCAAATCAGGTATCTCTCCAAGTCTCAGTTTCCCCCAAAATATAAAATAATGATGGTATCACCTACTTGTGGAGGGGAAGGACAAATGGAAATGCATTCACCTGACGTAACAATAAATGTTAGTCCTACTTTTCTTTTCCTCTCCTCCTGATTTAATGAAAAAATAGCCTTTCTCTACTCCAGCCTGTTAAGTTTCCAAACCGACTCAAAAATATGTTGCTTCTGTTATAATTTAACATATGGCCACCAAAATGTGTATAAATATTTTCACTAAACACATGGATTATGTACAAATGCAATTAATTTCCACAGTGAAAGTTTAGATAAAATGTTCACCTATATTATTCTAAGCAAAAAATATGTAAGTCAAATGTAATTTCACGAAACATATTTATGCACATAAATAGTTATGCACATAAATAGTCTCTAGTTTTTCTTTAGTATGAAAGTACACAGTGATCCATTCCATTGCATCTTTCAGAAAAGCAGGACAGGGCTCCCCCAGTCCTCACTATAATTCTCCTCTCCATTTAGATTTATGCATGGCCCAAGAAATAAATCTCACAGTCCTGACCGGAGCTGAGGAGTCTCCAAGGACAGTCCAGGAGACATTTATCCTAAACACTAACTGAGGTTCTCCCTCTGCCCTCTCTGGGGCTGGGAATGGAGAGAAAATGGAAATCAACACCTCTGTATTTTCCAGAATGCAGTCTCAGACTAACTGCATTATACAGAAATTAAAAAAAAACCCTTTAAATTAATGGGAGAATTAGAAACACACAAAATCAATTTTCTACAGTGTAAGTTTGCTATTTAACATAAGTCTAACAAAGCAAACAAACAGCAAAAGAAACTCCCCAATATTTTTTTGAAATCCTAAAAAGATACCGGAAAAGCAAACTTACTAAAAGTTGGCAACAGCTAGGTAATTTTCTAGAAACATGTCAAAATTTAAGACTAAAAAGAAGAATGATGACAGATATTTACATAACACTTACTAAATGCAGAATTAATTTTGGGTACATTCAGAAATGAACCTGTTACTTAAATTTTATTTAATAACTATTGATCTCAAAATCATGGTGTAGCAAAACTAATTGTCCTTGTCACTAATGTGAAAGTTGGCTGCCACCGTCAATGACTGAAATTTATTAAATTAAAAAATCATACTGAATTATGAAAATGGGATTTTTAAAGGCTTTTGTGCAAGTCACTAGACATACTAAGTAACAATAATAATGAAATAATAAGAAAATAATAATAACTTCAGACTAGTGAGGAATTTTTAAATTTGTTTTTAATTTCTTTCCGGAGCTTCATAAACAACTTGGAGAATAAACGTCATCATCACCTCAGGTTTTATACACAAAACAGAATTTTCTTCATGGCAATGTGATAGAACAAGTGAAGAAAATCGCTGTATTTTTTAAAGTCACAGCCAATTATCCCTTAAAAATAAATTTTTCAAAAGTCAGGGAGGAGAATAAATTAATTAAATTGTAATTAGAATATTTTCAATTTCCTTTTTATCATGCAAACAATTCTAAACATCCCCTTCACTTCTTTTTTTGCTTCCAATGCAGTTTTATTTGATTTGATGCGCTGTGTAATTAGCTGCTTACAGTATTGTAAACAGTAAGCAAAGCATGACCACACTTTTACTCAAGTCAGATGCTTTCAAGAGTGTAATAGACACAGAAGCTTTTCCACACCCTTCTTAGCAGCTGCTTTAAAAAATAACTATGTTATTTAAGAAATAATTCTCCATAAGGCATATGATTCTTCTAACTAGGAAAATGTAAATTCTGGTATATCAAATGTATGTGCATTATTTTTCTACTCCATTTTTTTCATATTCTAATGGAATCACTGGTTTGCACACATCCGGTAGCTCTTTTAACCACCAGCCTTTCATAAAAATTAGCAAAAATAAACCGACTATCATTTTTAAAAAGACAGTATGCCTTCTGTAGTTAAGAATATAAAAGAGTGCCTTTATAAATATGGGTCTGAAACTTTTCCATATATACACACACACACACACATACGTATGTAAAATACCACCACTGTTTGATGTATACTAAGAAAAAAAATCAGTCTTCTACTTGATTACTTACAATCATGTAAGGATAAATATTAAAAACAATAAAATGTTTATTTTTTTATGATTAAAATTTCTTAATTTCAAAATTCTTAGACAGACCACACTCAGGACAGAGCTTCAACTAGGGTATTCGCTCTCTGCACTGCTCAAGACTGGGTCATAAACTGTAAATTTAATTCAGTAATCCAGGATTTTTCCAAATGTCCAAATGTTGGCATCCCATAGAAAAGTCGGCAAATTTAACAGGCTGTTCTAAATCTTTTTTATTGCAGTTCTGCTAATAAGATATTTAAGGTCAGTTAGTGATCCAATAACCAATTTAATTTAAATGCCTTATTTCCCTCACCTTCTACCGTCACCCCAAACCCTCTCTCCCAACAAAATATTCTTTATTTCCTCTCAGTAAGCAGTTAAAAGTAATTTGCATGATTAAGTTGATCAGAATCAGTGTGGACTGCTCTCTGAAATTAAGAACAATATTATTTTTCCAAGAGAAACCAGTAGGCGGTGCTAACTCTAGGATATCACATTCAAAGACTTTTAAACCAAAACACTCACAGTACAGGTGACCAGTTTAAAGTGGTAGAATTCCTAACATAATTCATGGAGGAGGAAATTTCAAAATTTCAATGTGATAGACATTTAACATAACACGTAATATATCAACAATCAACATTAAATGAAAACCTAACACGACTAAAGGTTCTTTCCACAATCTTTACAGAATTCAAAGCACAATTATATATCCGTTCCCACTTGAAATCCTATGAATATCTTCCTCCACCTCATTATGGTTTCGGTCTCATTAGGAAACATACAGTTCAGTCTGCACTCTGCACCAACCTGAAAACACAGCTACCCCCATCTTAGGGCAGCGGGTAATCCTCTTAATGAAAATTCTGGTTTGATCTCTCAAGTTTTTCCTTCTCATTCACTGTTTCTTTTAAAAAGACTAACTGACTTATAGTGCAACCTGAAAAGAAGTATTATACACTTGCATTGTCTTCCATTTTTAAATCAAAGGAGCATTTCTACTAATATACAGTATTCTGGTAAAAATGATGAAAAATATAGAATGTTGCAAGTGGCTTTTTAAGTGTTTTTGCTAGCTGTTTAAACCATGTGAAAGACTACATTTTAGTAGTGTACTCACCACAACAAAAAAAATCAAAATGTAAAGCTCAGTAACATAATATTTGTGTCAAATCTTAGACCTGTGCCCTTCAGGATATCAAATCTGATGGTCCACACACGACATCAACTTCCCTCCTTATATAAAAGTAACAGGACTTTCTTAACAGAGAAAAGCTACCCTGGGTACAAAAGTAACTCACACTGCTACTTCCAAAGACCTCTGAAATGATCGTGAATAAAAAATATAGAGCTTTCTAGATGTTACAACAAATTTTAATCTTCTACATAGATAAATGATCACTTGCATTCCTCTTTTAACACGAAGCGTAAAGAAATACAGGCATACAACTTCATTCCACAAACTGAACGTTCAGACTTAAAAGAAATATTTGCTTGAAAAACCTAGGCGTATGTTATTAACATGTTTGTCACGGCCTTTTGTATGTTGGACTTAGTTTTTACGTCTATATATAACCTAGAAGAAAACTTAATCTGAGAAGCAGAAGTTATTCCACTTGATTATACTTATTTTAACAGAATCCAAATTATACCAAGCTTCAGAATCCAATCAGTTAAATAGTAGTTAGCCTCCAGATTTTAAGATTTAAAACATAACACAAAATTTATTTGGACAGCAAGTTTTCCAGCAGATTGTCTCTATGTTTAGTAAAGAAAAGGCTTTTTATTACCAACTGTGGTACATCTCCAAAAAGCAGTACCAGGTTATACCGGAAACGTACCAGGACAATCATAAAATATCATAAACTCCATAGAATACATTCAACACTGAGTTCTGTAATGCTATCAACACACCGAAATCAGTCACCACCATTCACCAACCCTTCTCCCTGGCCTGTGCCCCGTTCTCCGGGGAAAACCTTGGAAATCACAATCAGGTGGTTAGAAAGTGGGAAAACACTGTCCCTTTAAAACTCAACCTTATGGGTGTAGTCTCATTAATGCAAACTAACAGTTTCGTCCTCAACGTTAAAACCAACCGACCGTCATGGAAAGTAACTATTTCCCCCCACCTGGGAAGACGCCAGCTTTAAAACCAAAGCCACACAACAGGGAACGAAAAGATCTGAAGACAGCACCACTAAGAAAGCCACAACCCCTCGGAACGAGCGAAACAGACTGGGAAAGCCCAACTGCGTCGTTTACTCATGGCCAAGAGGAGGAGCGGGTTTGAGCGTGCGGGGGCTGGGGCCACCCTCGGGGATCTGGAAATGGCTCGAGCTCCCCGGCCCCGGGCCGGGAGCCAGCCCCTTCGGAAGATGCTGCCCCTGCCGCTTCTCCCCGCGTCTCCCGGGCGCTCCGAGGGGCCGCCCCGGCCGGCCCGCGCCGCATGCTCGGCCCCTCGCCCCTCCGGCTCTGCAAGTGGCCCTCGGAGAACTTACAGGGCCCGCCGGCTGCCGAGTCCCCGGTCGGCGCCGCCCGGGGCGCAGACGCCGCCCGCTGCGGAGACGACCTGGGCGCAGCCGAGGGAGGGACCGTATTTTGCGCACATCCAAAAAGCAGCCCAAGGCCGGGGACCGACTTTGGTCTCCCCTAGCTCCCGGCACGGCTTTCCCCACCGCGGGCTCGGACACTGCCGGAGCCGCGCGCGCGCACAAACACACAACACACACACCCCCACACGCACAGACACACATACACAGATTTCTTTGCCAGGACCAGTGTTGCCATTGCAAACCCGGGAAACGCCTCCAAGGGGACCAAGTACCTGCTCTCTGCGAGCTGCTCAGCTGTTCACTTCATCCTCCGTTGACAAGGAAACCAAACCGCACTTCATTTTTTTTTTTCCAGAGAAACCTTCCACTGCCATCATTTGAAAATTGATTTACGGGGAGGGGAGGGGGAGGAAGAAGGGATGATATAGATATAGATATCAGGATATCTATCATAAAATTATCTCGGCTTTTTAAAAAAGTCAGCTGTGCAAAAGTCATAGTTAATTTAAAGGAGGGGAAAAAAAGTATTTGCTTAAAAATAATCCCAGTAACCAGCTGCAAGAAAAGTTTCATGTTATCAACGGGTTTCAAAAACAGGAGGGAAAAAAAACGAATTTGTTCTCACCGGCTTCCAAAAAGGGCACCGAAAAAATAGAAAATGAATGTCTTTGCTCAGTGGTTTGTACCAGTATTGCAAAACCACAAACTTGTAAACACTGCCGTAAAATCCCACCTATACAAAAATCTTATCAGAAAAAGAGTATGCCAAAAAAGAGTTAGAAACATGCTTTTTTTTTAATTTTTACAAAGGAAAAAAAATAAGCACCATACTTCACATCGCTTTTTCCATAAAACCAGTTGCATATTTTGCTGGACTTGGGAGTCGCTCCCAGCGGGCACGGTCGCCGCGGACTCCCAGACACAGCGCCTTGTCTACAGAACCATCGCATGCTAGAAAAACTTGGATTCAGGAAAAGGCTCAAAACCATGCCCCTCCAGCTTTCCCAAATATAAACAATAATCAAAGAAGTGGAAAAAAAAAGAAGAAAAAAAAACAAAAAAAGAAAAACAAAAAAAAGGACAAAAAAAAAGAATAGGACAAGAATACCACTGAGAAGGTACTCACCGAGCGGGAGTAAAATGTTGGAATAAAAATGAGATTTAGTATAAAATACAGTATGGCGGTGGAAGAAGGAATGAAGCGCGTTTTTTTCTCAGTCTCTGCCTCAGGCACTGACACGTGACTCGGAGCCAGGCTGACTTGCAGGCAGCCGGGAAGGACCGAGGCTGCGA